ATTGGGGGTGGCCATGGCAGCAGCTGGAAGTCTCACCGGGCTGGGAGAGTCGGGTAGGTCAGCAGCAGAAGAACACAGCTCAGGAACAGCAGCACGGCGGCTCGGGCGGCTCGGGCGGCTCGGGCGGCTCGGGCGGTTCGGGCGGCTCGGGCGGCGGCTCGGTCGCAGCTCAGCGGCGGCTCGGGCGGCGGCGGCTCGGCGGCGGCTCGGCTGCTGCTGGGCGGCTGGGCGGCGGCTCGGGCGGCTCCGGCTCGGCGGCGCAGGCGGCGGCGGCTCGGCGGCGGCCCGGGCGGCGGCTGAGGCGGCGGCGGCTCGGCGGCGGCTCGGCTGCTGCTGGGCGGCTCGGCGGGGTCGCGGAGCAGAGGGCGGCGGTGCCACGTAGGAGAGGGCGGCGGGGCCGCGTAGCAGAGGGCGGCGGGGCCGCGTAGCAGAGGGCGGCGGAGCCGCGTAGCAGAGGGCGGCGGGGCCGCGATCGAGGGGCGGCGGGGCCGCGTAGCAGAGGGCGGCAGGGCCGCGTAGCAGAAGGCGGCGGGGCCGCGTAGCTGAGGGCGGCAGGGCCGCGACGTAGGGCGGCGGGCGGGCCTTCGAAGTAGGGCGGCGGGCGGGCCGGGACGTAGGGCGGCGGGGCCGCGACGTAGGGCGGCGGGCGGGCCGTAGAAGTAGGGCGGCGGGCGGGCCGGGACGTAGGGCGGCGGGGCCGCGACGTAGAGCGGCGGGCGGGCCGTCGAAGTAGGGCGGCGGGCCACGACGTAGGGCGGCGGGGCCGTCGAAGTAGGGCGGCGGGCAGGCCGCGACTTAGGGCGGCGAGGCCGCGCGATAGGGCGGCGGGGCCGCAAGGTAGGGCGGCTCGACAGGCCGCTAGGGAGGGCGACACGACGGGTCGCTAAAAAAAAAGGACGCGCGCCTTGGGGCGCGCTTCGGTGGGCCCAAGAAACAGTCCCTAGTAGGGGACCTGCTCTGATTCCATGTGAAAGAGAGAACGAGAATGGAATGACTATGAAAGAAGTGAGTACAAATAGGAAACCCTAATTGGGTTGTACCCCCTATGGGATACCCCACTATAGCCTACACAATAGTATAAGCTATATAGTTCTGACACCGTGTGCTCAGGCCTTGCTGCAGTGAGCTCACGCCTTGCTGCCGTGTGCTCAGGCCTTGCTGCAGTGAGCTCACTGACAAAAGTTAGAAGAAAGAAAAAGAGGGATGAACTAGCAGAAATGGGGATACAAATAGCAAACCCTAGAAGGGTTGTACTCGCTATAGAGCACCCCACTACAGGCTAGAACATAAGAATGATATTCTGACACACCCCCATAGCCAAAGTGGGGTGTAATCAGCAGAGCAGGCAAAGCAAAACAAGCTCAGGGTGGATCACAATGTCACCACACATTCTGAGCACAAGTTCAAGAAGAAATAGTTTAGAGTTCACAATTATAAGCAAAGCTAGTGGTAGTCACAACGGGCAAGTGAGGAGGAGGAGGGAGAGTGAGGGGAGAGGAGACAGGAGGCGACGGCTGAAGCTGCAGACACACGGGCAACAGGAGGCAGACTGGCACAGCGGCTACCGGACAGCGCCCGGACTACAGGAGTAACAGGCCCCGCGGCTCAAATAGCGGCGGACGGGCAACGGACCCACGGGCGGCTGGCACAGCTGGCTACGACTGGGCTACCGGGACAGCGCCCCGGACTACAGGTGCTGCGAACGACAAACTGACAACCTCCACTCAACCTCTCGCACACAGTCCCACCCCCCTGATACACACCCACTGCTACACCGCTAGCTCTACTCCCACGCACCCCCCTTAAACCCTAAACCCGAGTCTCCCACACAACCACCCCCCTCAGCGACAGCTGCAGCAGTGGGAGACGGAGGAGGAGGAGGAGCAAAGGGAGGAAGGCACACCGAGCACCCCCATACCCGCCACCCCACAGCTCGCCCCTCAGGTCGTCCGTCGAGGCGACCTGAGGGGGCCGCTTGCGGCCCCCGAAGGAGCCGCGACGGGCGACGGGAAATGGGGGGGAGGGGAGAAAAGGGGGGGGGGGGGGGGGGGCGGGGGGGGGGGCCGGTGCCGCGACGAGGGGCGGGGCCGCGACGGTCGGGGCGGGGCCGCGACATAGGGCGGGGCCGCGACGTAGGGCGGGGCCGCGACATAGGGCGGGGCCGCAACATAGGGCGGGGCCGCAAAGGTAGGGCGGGGCCGAGCCGGGCAGGCGCACGGGCGGCGACGGGCCGGGGCGGGGCCGCGACGAAGGGCGGGGCCGAGCCGGGCAGGCGCACGGGCGGCGACGGGCCGGGGCGGGGCCGCGACGTAGAGCGGGGCCGCGTCGAGGGGCGGGGCCGCGACGATCGGGGCGGGGCCGCGACGTAGGGGAGAAGCCCGCCGCGCGCCCCGGGGCGCACAGCGGGCAATGAACCGCCGCGCGCCTCGGGGTGCACGGCGGGCAGAAAACCGCCGCGCGCCTCGGGGCGCACGGCGGGATGAAAAAATGCCGCACGCCACGGGGCGTGCGGCTCAGAGAGTAGTAGCAGTAGTAGCAACGGAAGCTAAGCGGTGGTAAGCCCACCCACAGGATCGATCCTGGGGGATCGACCTGCTGTGATAGCATGACAAAAGTTAGAAGAAAGAAAAAGAGGGATGAACTAGCAGAAATGGGGATACAAATAGCAAACCCTAGAAGGGTTGTACTCGCTATAGAGCACCCCACTATAGGCTAGAACATAAGAATGATATTCTGACACTCACGCCTTGCTGCCGTGTGCTCAGGCCTTGCTACGGCAGCCCGCTTTCTCTTCTCAGCCTGCCGGTGCCTTGCTGCAACTCTCCGGCGCCTTGTAGCATGGCGATGCCTGTCAGAGGTCCACTGGTGATCCCCGATTGATCCTAGGGAAGGGTTACAGGCATGTTGGCCTGGGGGGTTATGGGCGCACTGACCCGCTACTTAACAAGCCCTTTTATCCCAATGGTCTAGTGGTTGGGATTCTGACATGGTATCAGAGCGAAGGTCTCGGGTTCGAATCCCGGTGTATGCACTTCGGGCATCCCAGTGCGGGGGGGTGTCAGAGGTCCACTGGTGATCCCCGATTGATCCTAGGGAAGGGTTACAGGCATGTTGGCCTGGGGGGTTATGGGCGCACTGACCCGCTACTTAACAAGCCCTTTTATCCCAATGGTCTAGTGGTTGGGATTCTGACAATGCCCACTCGTTGCTCGTTGGAGCCTTGCTGCACACCAGCGTGGTGTGCATGACCTCAGGGGATCTATGTTTCAAACCACGCTTGTGAGTCGTCAAATTCGGTTTCTTCCGTTGCAAGACTTGTGTTTCATTTCTGTTTTGTATCAATGTTCATCGGTACTTTCATTTTGTATTTATCAGATTTCAACACATACGTGCTTATCAAGTTCCATTTAACAATCGAGTATGTGCTCATCACTGAATAATTTACTGCGTTCTCCGACGACAATTCATTTTTAATTGAACTGTGTGTTTTGCGAGGTGCGCAAGACGCATTGTGTGAAGCAAGGAGGGGAATGCGAGAGAGAAGACAATGTGGAAAAGGGTGGGAGGAGATTTTGATGGAAGGCGGAAAGAGGGAGGAAGGGGGGACAAGCTAGCAGTGATTGATACGTAATGAATTGATTGCAACTCTTCGTTATGCTTGTCTGCTCTCAATCCTATTTGTGTATGCATGTTCGTGCAGGTCAGTTTGTGCGGGTCGGTTTGTGCGGGTGTGTTCATGTCAATTGGTTGTTTCACAGGGGATTGTTGTGCTGGTATGCATCGTGTTTGTGATTTGAGGTTGTCATCGTCGTTGGGGCAGCGTGTTTTCACTGTTTCAACGACCCCATCAATCTCAGTTGCAGCATTGGTGTATATTGAGCACCCACTTCGATCCGTTCACAACCGTTGCGTGGTGTTGTACCCTTCTACGAGAGTTTGCATTTGTGTTCGTGGGATGTGTGTTTCAAAGTGTGGTGTTACTACGTGTCATGTATGTAATTAGAGGTTGTTAATCGTCTTTGGGGCAGCGGGTTTTCGCTGTTTCAACGACCCCATCAACCTCTATTGCTATATGGTGCATCTTAACATTCATTTTGAAGCAACCACTCCACCTCATACCTTGTTGTTCATTTGTACAACTGCATTCGTGCATGTTGATACTAGAATATTATGCTCGGCCGTACCATCCGCCGTATTTATCGACGAGCTGGGATGGTCGGGCAAATTCTTGGTTTCAACATGATACGTACGATATTTGGTTTCACATATGGGTATCTCATTTGAGAGTGCTTTTATTCACTATTTGAGGCTTCCGTTTGAACACACTTCCAAACATTCAAACGTGTGCTCCAAAAAGTGCATAAAAAATCACTTTTCAAATGATATCCCCAAAATGTCAAACCAAATATAAAGGGTTGCTACGCAACCCAAAAATGTGAAAAAAAAAAACTGACCAAATCGATCGTAATAGGTTGCTTCGCAACCCAAAAAAAACTGTCAACCTTGGTTCTGGCCATGCGGTGCTGCTCTACTGATTGTGGATGATCTGGCCAACAGTTTGTTTCATTTTGTGTGGGAACAATTATAGCAATCTGCGTAAGTGTTGGGATGACAACGACATTCTAGGGGCAGTTTAAGGAAACCCTTGGGTTCCATTCGGTGCGATTACGGAACGGGGCTCTGGGGATCGCCGTACAGTATCAACTGTTTTCAAACATGTCTCCAAACAAGTGGGCCGAGCCAAGTCTCACCTGACCCGAGACACAGCACACCAATAGGAAACGTGCCCAACGTCTCCCGTTATGTGAGCGCCCGGCATGGTAGCGGAAGCGCGTTCTTTCAAGCAAGTCGACTGGCTGGTTGTGTTAACGGAAGCCTTCGTCGATTCGTTGACTGCTGGTTACTTTGCTCGCATTTGTGGGAAAACGTCGCCAGCTTCCACGCGGAATTTTTCTTCAATCGCCAGCCGCGCTTGATGGCGCGCACCGAATATTTCAACGATGCCGCCGCCTGTTTGCACCTTCGTTGTTCCAGACAGCTACGGTTACCACCAGGCCGTCATCCGCCCAGCCAGACCAACCCAACTGTTCTGTGGTCGTCGCCAGCCATGGCCATCGAACGACACTTACGGAATCGTGGGTGACTGCGGCAAAAACAGCAGATTTCACTTGCTAACACCGAAAATAGTTGCACCTCCCCCCCTGCAGAAGCCTGGTCGCGCCGCGCCTACAGAGTTCGTAGGAGGACTTAGCCAGCAATAAATGGCCAGTTGAAGAGAAAATCAGTCGTGCAAAATAGGATCACGGGTTTGTGAATTCTCAATATCGAACATGCAGTTGCACGATAGCTTGTAGCGCCGCCGCTCCCCCCCTTTCAGCATTATACTCCCTCACCCGTCCGACTCCTTCTGTTTATGTCTGCATGGTCCCGCGCAAGCCATTATAACCTGAAATATATCCGTCTCTCGTACGATTAGCTAGGATAGTTTCTGTAGAACCAGCACTCGTACGTACCGTATTGCAGCATCGGCGGCATCAACGTAACGTGGTGAGTGCTCAGCCATGGCGGCCGAGTGTTAGCTCACTCGCATGCCTTTCATTCCCTCGCTCACTAACTCCCCTCTTCTCCTCCTCCTCTACCCAGAACTCGCACCACACCGTCAAAGGCGGCATGGCGGCCCCGTCGCGGTGGCTCGCGTTCGCGCTTCTGCTGCTGCTGTGCGCAGCGCTCGCTCCTCTCGCCGCCCACGGTACGCCGCCAGCCGCCGCCCATTCTCGCGCGCATCGCCCAGCCCTCCGCCCCCATCTCTCTCCGCGTTCTCTCCGCTTCTGGCTTCGCCCTCGTCTTCCTTTCCGCTCAAGTATGCGCCGCTCCCCTCACCCCCAATCCCCCGCCCCTTCCCTGCGCTCTCTTCCGCCTTCTCCCAACCCCCGCAGCGCAATGGACGTACCTTCCCCGCATATCTCGCGGCGCTTGGCTGCCGCGCTCATTCGGTTCCGTTTCCCGCCGCGTCGTCCCCACTTACGCCGACGCAGACGCGCAACCGCTGTTCCCGCACGCGCAGTCCAAGCTGACGTCATCGCTCTCCCTCGCCCCCTGGATGTTCCCCTTCGCCCGCCCGCGCTCCTTTCTCCACACCGCCTCCCGCGCGCAGTCCCCGCCAGCGACCGACACGCGGACTGCGCCCACATTTTCCACGCTCACGCTAGAGCGTGACCAGCCGCCCAAACCACCCAAGTCGCCCAAATCACCGAAACCGCCGAAATCGCCAAAGCCGCCCAAGTCGCCGCCGCCCCCTTCCCCTCCGCCGAAATCCCCCAAGCCGCCCAAGTCCCCCAAGCCCCCGTCTCCTCCCAAGCCAGGAAAGTCCCCCAAGCCTCCCCCGCCCCCGCCGGCCGTCCCCCTTCCGCCCCCGCCGGAGTGGCCGTCCACGTACGCGGGCGTCGCGCCGCTCGCGGCGGATCCGCCGGAAACGCCGCTCTTCGATGTGAAGGAGGGGTTCGGGGCGGTGGGTGACAACGCTACCGACTCGTGGGCCGCGTTCGACGGCGCGTTCCGCGCTGCGTGTGAGAGCGCGAGGGGGAGCGGCGGGCGCGCGATAGTGCGCGTGGGGGAGGGCGCGTTCTTCCTGGCGAAGTCCATCACCGTCAACGGGTCGTGCGGCGCTGGCCTCACGCTGCAGGTACCGCTGTCATGCTCCCCCGATCTCCTGCTCTCACGCTCCGCCGATCCCCCGCTCTCTCGCTCCCCGATCCCCCGCGCCCTCCCTTTCCCGCTCCCACGCTTCCCCCGCCCCTATTCCCCCGCTCCCTCGCTCTCTGGCGCCTCCGCTCTCCACTCTCATCGCGCTCCAAGCGCCCTTCACGACCCACTCAATCTCCAGGCTGCCCCCCACCCTGTGACCTCCACCCTGTGACCTCCACCCTCCTGCATTGCCCCTCACCCACCATCCTGTCGCCCCCTTTTCCTCTCCTCCCCTTCCCCCAAACTTCCCCCGTGCCCAGGTGGACGGCACCATCTACGGGCCGCTCTCCAAGGACGGCTACCCCACGCCCTCACTGTACCTGAACGGCACCATCATCGGCGTGGCCAGCAACGGGCTGTTCCAGTTCCAGGGCGTGAAGGGGCTCGTGCTGCGCGGGGAGGGGGCGATCGACGGCAACGGGAGGAAGTTCTGGGGGTCCAAGGCGCCCACGCGGCCACACATCATTGCGCTCATCGACTGCCAGTACACCACCATCGACGGGCTGCTGCTGCGGTATGTGTGTATGTATCTGTGCGATTTGCTGTCGCATGCCACCCTCTCCTGCTGCCGCCTGTGCGCCCTACTCTCCCTTGCCCTTCCCCCAATCTCCCAATCCCCCCTCACCCCTCGCCTCCCCTCACCCTCGTTCCCCCTTCCCACGTCCCTTCTTCCCCCCTCTCAGCAACCCGCCAATGTACCACGCGTTTGGGTACGGCACGGAGGGGCTGTGGATCCCATGCTGTGCATATCCCTCATCCCCCATCCTCTCACACCCACCCCCGTTTGCCCTCCCACGTCCCTTCTCCCCCTTCTCCTCCACCACCAGCAACCCGCCAATGTACCACGTGTTTGGGTACGGCACAGAAGGGCTGTGGATCCGCGGGGTGACCACCAACAGCCCTGAGACGTCCCCCAACACGGACTCGCTCAAGCTGCTGGGCGTGCGCCACGCCGTCATCGAGAACTGCACCTTCCACGGGGGGGATGACGACGTGTCACTCGTTGCCAGGGGCGCTCAGAGCGTGGTGAACGTGACGGTCAGGAACCTCATTGCCACGGCCGGGCACGGCATCAGGTGAGCTGCTTCGAGGTCACTCGGAAGGCAGTAGGGGCGGGGAAGGGGTGGTCACTGTGACTGTTGGGTGGGAACATGATTGTTACGACCAGACACTTCCCTGTCCACCCACACTCCTTCTCACTCTCCCCCCTTGTGCCTGTGTTGCTTGCTCCCCTCCCCTTGCAGCATTGGAAGCCTGGGAGCGGGGGGGGCAGTGGCGTGTGTGTCGGATGTGACATTCAAGGACCTCATTATATCCAACCTCGATAACGGGCTGCGCATCAAGACATGGCAGGGCGGCCTGGGGATGGTGCGCAACGTGCGATATGAGAATGTGTACATGACTGACACTGACAACGCCATCACACTCAACCAGGTGAGACCATGCATGCAGAAGCAACTGCAGCAACAGCTGCAGCAGCCCCTTTGCAGAGTTTCAATGTGCAATCAGATGGAAGGCTTAGTACCATCTATATAATTTTGCTTTGTTGTACCGTCTCCCTGCCACAGTTTTACTGCGACTCGCACCAGGACTTCTTCTGTGGCATAGCGCCTGACAACGTGGCACTGGTCAACATCACTTACTCCAATGTCTATGGCACCACCTCACGGTGAGAGATGCCATACACACCTTGCCCCACAATGGAAATGCCGACTTGAAGGTCCACCGCTTGATGTCATGTTCCAAACTTGCCATCTACTCGTGTAAAAACGGTGTGAGTATGTTATAACGTGTGTTGTATGTGTCCGGATGCAGGTATGGAATGAACATCCGATGCAGTGCGACGGTCCCCTGTGGTGGCATCAATCTCAGCAACGTTAACCTCGTCTCCTCCAAGGCAGGAAGCTCCCTTCGTCCCGTGCTGCTGAATGTGGTCAACAGCCAGGCCACAGGAGTGGTGGCGCCTTTACCGCAAGGCATGGGGTCGTATGCTGGTTGGGGCTCCACCCCTCCAACTGCAGCACAAGCTGCGAGTATACAAAAGATGATGACACAGTGTGGGAGCTAACTGCTACTAGCGTTTTACACATGCGCTATGCTTTCCAATATCGCAAATCCACATCGAGAGTTATTCTTATGGGTCCCTTCAGTAGAAAAAACATGTATTGTAATAAAAAAGTGTTGGGATGAGACTCAGAACGTGTTCCATTAACCTACTCTCAAACTATCCCATGGCTACAATATTTCTGCCTGTGACAATCGTACCGCATTTTGAGACTGGTGAGAGGCATTAGCGGGAACAAATTGTGTTGGAATCCCTTGTTCGCGCATATCCTGATTCCAGTAACGAATCAGTGACGTTACTTTAACGCCCCCATGGTGCCGTCTCGCGAACAAAAGCTGATCTTGTCTTAACTCTCTGTTGAAGGCAGTGTTACAGCCCGAAATGTGGTAACCGAGCGGTTATGAGCTGTAAATGTACGCGCTGGACATCCCCTGAGACGGTTGAAAACAAGGCCCTCAGCGTCACGGCGAATTCGATGATCCTCGCAGCAGCCATCATTGCCACCACTTGTTCCACCCCACTAAGCCAAAGCAGCACGTTTGTTCCACCATCAGCGCCGTATCCTCGCGAGTTATCGTACCCAGCAGGCAGCGTCGAGACTGAGGTGGAGGTTAGCGATGGCGTCAGCACCAGAGGACGTAGGGAGGTCGATGATGCCGTTCCTGCAGCGCGCCGATGAGCTGCAGAAGCACGACCCGCTCGTCGCTTATTACTGTGAGCACTTCGTTTCAGTAGATTCTAGGCGTGATTCTGTCGCCTCCCCTGCGGTGCACGCAGGGTGCGACGCTGTCGTAAGACTCGCGACGGGGTTGCAACGTCCGGTTTCTAGGGCGAGTAATATTTTATTTGAGGGGTTCAATGCCAAGAGTCAGAAGAAGCACATAGAAAGAGCGACATGGCTTCTTATTTTCTGCAAAGTACAGATTCGTTGTTCGTACGCGAGTGGCGGAAGGGGTTGGTGGGAGGATTCCACTGACGTGGCGCATGTTGACTGGTTCCACGATTAAGTGTGCGTGGATGAGTGGCATGGGCATGGGGCATGTGCAGGTCGGCTGTACGCGACGGACAAGGGGCTGAAGGGGCCGAGCAAGGAGAGGGGCAAGGAGACCAACGACCTGCTGCTCTCGCTGCTCGCGCGGTTAGAGAAGGTGCGTGTCATGCATGGCTGCATTAGAAGGGCCTCAAGGTGCCGAGCAAGGAGAGGGGCAAGGAGACCAACGACCTGCTGCTCTCGCTGCTCGCGCGGTTAGAGAAGGTGCGTGTCATGCATGGCTGCATTAGAAGGGCCTCAAGGTGCCGAGCAAGGAGAGGGGCAAGGAGACCAACGACCTGCTGCTCTCGCTGCTCGCGCGGTTAGAGAAGGTGCGTGTCATGCATGGCTGCATTAGAAGGGCCTCAAGGTGCCGAGCAAGGAGAGGGGCAAGGAGACCAACGACCTGCTGCTCTCGCTGCTCGCGCGGTTAGAGAAGGTGCGTGTCATGCATGGCTGCATTAGAAGGGCCTCAAGGTGCCGAGCAAGGAGAGGGGCAAGGAGACCAACGACCTGCTGCTCTCGCTGCTCGCGCGGTTAGAGAAGGTGCGTGTCATGCATGGCTGCATTAGAAGGGCCTCAAGGTGCCGAGCAAGGAGAGGGGCAAGGAGACCAACGACCTGCTGCTCTCGCTGCTCGCGCGGTTAGAGAAGGTGCGTGTCATGCATGGCTGCATTAGAAGGGCCTCAAGGTGCCGAGCAAGGAGAGGGGCAAGGAGACCAACGACCTGCTGCTCTCGCTGCTCGCGCGGTTAGAGAAGGTGCGTGTCATGCATGGCTGCATTAGAAGGGCCTCAAGGTGCCGAGCAAGGAGAGGGGCAAGGAGACCAACGACCTGCTGCTCTCGCTGCTCGCGCGGTTAGAGAAGGTGCGTGTCATGCATGGCTGCATTAGAAGGGCCTCAAGGTGCCGAGCAAGGAGAGGGGCAAGGAGACCAACGACCTGCTGCTCTCGCTGCTCGCGCGGTTAGAGAAGGTGCGTGTCATGCATGGCTGCATTAGAAGGGCCTCAAGGTGCCGAGCAAGGAGAGGGGCAAGGAGACCAACGACCTGCTGCTCTCGCTGCTCGCGCGGTTAGAGAAGGTGCGTGTCATGCATGGCTGCATTAGAAGGGCCTCAAGGTGCCGAGCAAGGAGAGGGGCAAGGAGACCAACGACCTGCTGCTCGCCCGCCTCGAGAAGGTCCGTGTCAGGCCGCGCCGCATGACGATTGTTGCCATGCAATGAGGGCACAGCACACGTTCGTCGTGGCTATACGTGTCTGATTCTGTCCGTCTCCCCATGCACGGAATCATGCAATGTAGGAAGTGCTCCACCTCCCGCTATCCCCACCCTCGCTCGCACAGCCCTGTAGTTCGGACCCTCCACTGCCGCTCGTCCTCACACCTCCCCGTCTTTCTCCCCCGCATCTCTTGCCCACCCATTCCCCACCTCGCACATGTGCCCCTCGCACGCCCTTACCCCTCCCCTGTGGCAGGACAAGGTGGAGCTACAGCTATCGCCCGAGGACAGTCTGCACGTGGAGGGCTTTGCAGAGCGCGTCTTTGCCAAGGCGGACAAGCAGGACAGGGCGGGCCAGGCCGACATGTACGCCCCTCCACCCTCACTCGCTTCAAGCCTGTGTATCACTCACTCGTGTGTCCGCTTTTCATTGCATCTCCCCTACCACGTACCAGCCTCCCATTTTCTCCTGTCCCCCCCCTCTTCCACCCCTGCTCTCCCCTGAACCCCCCGCGCCCGCCTGTTGGTGTCTCTCAACCCGGCAGCTCGACAGCCAAGACGTTCTATGCGGCGGGGCTGTTCTTCGACGTCCTGCGCCAGTTCGGCGAGCTGCCTCCGGACGTGAGGATTCCCTGCACTGCCGCTGTTCGTTGCTAAGGCACTGCTCGCTGCTGTCATGCTGTTCACTGGCTCGCCTGTTCATTGCCTCCTTCCTCCCTTCCTCTCTCCACATTCCCCTTCCAAAGGGCCTCCTCCCCACTCCTTCCCCGTTCCATCCCATCCCATCTTACCCACGCCATCCTCCCCTCCTTCCTGTCTCCTTCCCCTCTCCATCCCTCCTCCATTTGCCCCTACCGCCTCCACACCCCCCCCTCCGAGGGCAGGTGGAGCAGAAGCAGCGGTACGCGGCATGGAAGGCAGCTGACATCCGCAAGGCACTGGCAGAGGGCCGCCAGCCCACGCCTGGCCCGCCCGCTGCCGATGCTGCTGGTGCTGCCGCCCTGCTCTCCGCACCTGCTGCCGCTGCTGCTGCTCCCTCAACAGCCCCGGACAGCACTGGTGGGGCTGGTCATGCGACACAGGGAAGCCTGGTGAGTGCGGCAAGGACAGCAGCATCGGGGGAGAGGTGAGGAGATGGGGGAAAGGACAGGTTGGAAGAGTCTTTCCCATGTGATGCTTCTTCTTTCTTCCTGTCTCTTCAGTGCGCTGCTTGCATATGGTACTGCACCTTCCGTTCACGTGCATTGCGCCCCTTCTTCACATATCACCCTCATCGATACCACCCTTATCACACCCTGCCCTCCTTGGTACCACCCCCCCCCCACAACCCCTGCGCATCCCCTTCTCCCACCCACCTATCTCCTCTCCCCCCTTCTCCCCCCTCCCCCTCCCCCAGCAGCAGCAGCACGACATCCTGGGTCTGCCAGTGCCGCCCTCAGTGCAGCCTCTCCGCGCCGACCGCAGTGGAGCAGCGCCAGGGGGGAGTGGGGCAGCAGCAGGGGGAGGGGGTGCTGGTGGGGGATGGGCACAGGGAGGCGCGCAGCAGGGGCTAGGGGTGGGGCGACCCCATGGGGGTGGCGCTGGTGAGCTCTCTGCCCCTCTTGGGCCGCCTCACTGCCCTTCTGTGCTGCACGCTCTCACATCTCTCACAAGAGTTTCCCCTCTCCCCCTAGTCGGTTTCATAGACCCAGATGCCCGCCAAACCGTCCAGTCTACTGCACCTTTTCTTCTTGCTCCTAACCCTTCCTGCCTTTCCCCTCCTTCCCCCCTCTCTCTCACTCTGCATGCGCTGACAATTTCGCCCTTCGGGTCTCTTTACTCCCTCCCACCTCCCCTGACCCCATCCACCGCTATGAACCGCACACCACACTCGTTGCAGCAGCAACAACATCATCCCTCGGCCCTGCATGCGCAGGCGCACCAGGAGCAGCAGCTGCTGCCCCGTCCTCCTTCTCAGCCCCCCTGCCTACTGCATCGCAGCCCGCTGCCAAAGCCACCACAGGAGCTGCTGCAAGCACAGCCACAGGCACAAGTGCAGGCTCGGGCACAGGCATGGGAATGGGGGGGCAGGCCCCACCAGCGGGTAAGGTGGGGGACGCCCACCGCGCTGCGCGCTTTGCTGTGAGTGCACTGGCATTTGATGATGTCCCCGCTGCTTTAGACTACCTCAAACAGGCCCTGCGGTTGCTGGACGGGATGTAACAAGGGTTCTGGAACATTACCTATATGTTTAGCGTTTTATATTGCGCCTTGTGTGCACAAGGTCCTATTCCTTAGCAACAAGCATTGAGAACGACCGATACGGTATGTTATAGATAAGTAGCCAATGAACTACCGTAAATGATAATAGCGATATTAATCTTAGAGGAACTTTGCAACACATAGAATATTTCTATGGAATTGCACTTGCGAATTTCCATTTGAAAGCAGCACTGGATGTAATATAGAATATTTGTCGTTGTTCTTTATGTAACGAGTGTAAATAGGGGGAATATTTGGTCAGTTATGTTTCTTCCAAGTTATTTGAGATTTGAATGTTGGCGAAACGATGGTATTCCGCCGCCGGAAATTCGTCAACTGGAGATATTTCGCCAAACGCAAGGAGAGTTACGGCGGCGCGCACCCGCCCAACCACCTGTGACGCCCTAGAAATCCAAACCACCTGACGGGGGAAGGGCGGGCCAAAGGCGGAAGCAGCACTCGGATCCTCTGCTTCGACCGGGATTCATTTTTTTTGGCGAAACTCCATTTTGCCCGTGGCGAGACGATTTTACTCGGATTTGACTCGGATTCGGCGCAAAAGGGTGTTGGATCTTACAAAATCCAAACCACCTGATGGCGCAACGAAATGGGCGCAAGAGTGGTTACACTACCGGTTTGGATTATCGACGGTCGCACGAAAGCGACGTCGCAACCACTGTTGTACAGTATTTGTATATAAACTTTGTTGTTGACACTTTGGTGTAATTCTGACAAGCAGAATGTCAAAATGGCTAAGTCAAAATTCTATATGGTTTGGCTCATAACTCCATCATTTGTTGGTCATTTGCACACAAATATGGATTTCCAGCATCTCCTTGATGTCCTCTACAAGCGGGCATGAGTTTGTTATTTTGTCAAATTTGTTCCATTTTGTCACTTTTCTCTCAACTAAGATTGCTCATAGCACATGTAAAGTCATTCTCTGTGCATCACACACATGTGTTATGTGGTGACCATTTTTTTTGCATTGTTAGTGTTATGACACCTGTTCCAGCCCCCCTGAACATTTTCAGCTATATGCAAACTGATTTGGTGGACTTTTTCTTGCAATGAAGTTAGTGTACAGAAATGCCTGGACTTAGGTTTCAATTGAAATCACCCACTTCTCCTTGAGCAAATGAGCTGATTTTTATAGGAGACTCTCACCACACATATTCCAGACCCCCACATGAAATTCACCTCATTTGCCCAAGGTTTGATATGTGTTTTAAGCCTTGCTGTGCAGCAGTCTGCAGAATTCTGTGCAGAATTGCCTGGACTTAGGTTTCAATTGAAATCACCCACTTCTCCTTGAGCAGATGAGCTGATTTTTATAGGGGACTCTCACCACACATATTCCAGACCCCCACATGAGATTCACTTCATTTGCCCAAGGTTTGATATGTGTTTTAAGCCTTGCTGTGCAGCAGTCTGCAGAATTCTGTGCAGGGTTGCCTGGAATCAGGTTTCAATTGTAATCACCCACTTCTCCTTGAGCAAATAAGCTGATTTTTATAGGGGAATCTCACCACACATATTCCAGACCCCCACATGAAATTCACCTCATTTTCCCAAGGTTTGATATGTGTTTTAAGCCTTGCTGTGCAGCAGTCTGCAGAATTCTGTGCAGAATTGCCTGGAATCAGGTTTCAATAGTAATCACCCACTTCTCCTTGAGCAAATGAGCTGATTTTTATAGGGGACTCTCACCACACATATTCCAGACCCCCACATGAAATTCACCTCATTTGCCCAAGGTTTGATATGTGTTTTAAGCCTTGCTGTGCAGCAGTCTGCAGAATTCTGTGCAGAATTGCCTGGAATAAGGTTTCAATAGTAATCACCCACTTCGCCTTGAGCAAATGAGCTGATTTTTATAGGGGACTCTCACCACACATATTCCAGACCCCCACATGAGATTCACTTCATTTGCCCAAGGTTTGATATGTGTTTTAAGCCTTGCTGTGCAGCAGTCTGCAGAATTCTGTGCAGGGTTGCCTGGAATCAGGTTTCAATTGTAATCACCCACTTCTCCTTGAGCAAATAAGCTGATTTTTATAGGGGAATCTCAACACACATATTCCAGACCCCCACATGAAATTCACCTCATTTGCCCAAGGTTTGATATGTGTTTTAAGCCTTGCTGTGCAGCAGTCTGCAGAATTCTGTGCAGAATTGCCTGGAATCAGGTTTCAATAGTAATCACCCACTTCTCCTTGAGCAAATGAGCTGATTTTTATAGGGGACTCTCACCACACATATTCCAGACCCCCACATGAGATTCACTTCATTTGCCCAAGGTTTGATATGTGTTTTAAGCCTTGCTGTGCAGAAGTCTGCAGAATTCTGTGCAGAATTGCCTGGAATAAGGTTTCAATAGTAATCACCCACTTCGCCTTGAGCAAATGAGCTGATTTTTATAGGGGACTCTCACCACACATATTCCAGACCCCCACATGAAATTCACCTCATTTGCCCAAGGTTTGATATGTGTATTAAGCCTTGCTGTGCAGCAGTCTGCAGAATTCTGTGCAGAATTGCCTGGAATAAGGTTTCAATAGTAATCACCCACTTCTCTTTGAGCAAATGAGCTGATTTTTATAGGGGACTCTCACCACACATATTCCAGACCCCCACATGAAATTCACCTCATTTGCTCAAGGTTTGATATGCGTTTTAAGCCTTGCTGTGCAGCAGTCTGCAGAATTCTGTGCAGAATTGCCTGGAATAAGGTTTCAATAGTAATCACCCACTTCTCTTTGAGCAAATGAGCTGATTTTTATAGGGGACTCTCACCACACATATTCCAGACCCCCAAATGAAATTCACCTCATTTGCCCAAGGTTTGATATGTGTTTTAAGCCTTGCTGTGCAGCAGTCTGCAGAATTCTGTGCAGAATTGCCTGGAATAAGGTTTCAATAGTAATCACCCACTTCGCCTTGAGCAAATGAGCTGATTTTTATAGGGGACTCTCACCACACATATTCCAGACCCCCACATGAGATTCACTTCATTTGCCCAAGGTTTGATATGTGTTTTAAGCCTTGCTGTGCAGCAGTCTGCAGAATTCTGTGCAGGGTTGCCTGGAATCAGGTTTCAATTGTAATCACCCACTTCTCCTTGAGCAAATAAGCTGATTTTTATAGGGGAATCTCACCACACATATTCCAGACCCCCACATGAAATTCACCTCATTTGCCCAAGGTTTGATATGTGTTTTAAGCCTTGCTGTGCAGCAGTCTGCAGAATTCTGTGCAGAATTGCCTGGAATAAGGTTTCAATAGTAATCACCCACTTCGCCTTGAGCAAATGAGCTGATTTTTATAGGGGACTCTCACCACACATATTCCAGACCCCCACATGAAATTCACCTCATTTGCCCAAGGTTTGATATGTGTTTTAAGCCTTGCTGTGCAGCAGTCTGCAGAATTCTGTGCAGAATTGCCTGGAATAAGGTTTCAATAGTAATCACCCACTTCTCTTTGAGCAAATGAGCTGATTTTTATAGGGGACTCTCACCACACATATTCCAGACCCCCACCTGAAATTCATCTTTTTTCGTAGACGTGTAGTATGTTTTTCACTCTCTCCTCTGCAGGCGGGAGCAGAGCACTTTGGTGAAATGTACAACATTTGTTTTGTACTCCAATGCCACTGTTATACGGGTGCTAATGATAGGGCACTCATCTCACACTTATAGGATTACCCGTTATAGTATTGGGTGTGCTAATCATGCAAAGTTCATGCTTGTGTTTGAATTATGGGTTACAAAAACTAGTACTATACGTGCTACACAAGTACCCCTATAGCGGTACTCTCGGATGTAGGGTGTCATTCGATTTCTGACACGTGTGACAGGTCGCAGAGACAGCTCTATTTCCAGGTTGCTGAGGGAACCATGCGGATGGGATAGCTATACGTGGCAGCCTGTCATTAACCTGTCACAGGACACCATTCGTTTTTTTTAGGGGCTGCCCGTCACCATTTCGTACGAGGTCGAGGCAAAGCTGAGACCATGCAATGGCACCGCAGAACATGCAATATGCTAACATGGCAAAGAGTAGTTCGCAAATGGTCGAAGGGAAATGGTGAGAAGCCTAATATTTTGAGCCATGGGGCAGAAAATTCTTACTACGCCTGGCGTTTGAGGACAGAGCACAACCAATTCTACCAGCGAAGCAGAAGTTGGGATCAGGGTGGGTGCACCAAAGCTCGACGTCATTCTCGCCATTCCAATCTGAGTCGAGGTTCCACAACTAGTCTCACAAGCTTCCCTCTCATTCTAGTGTCGGCCTCTTATCCTGCAGGTAGAGAGTGTTTGTTAGTAACCGTTTAGCTACCTGCCATCTTCTGGCATACTTACGCGATGTCGTCCCAGCTAATCACAGACGGCTGCGGATTGTCGGTACGACTAGGGCGGGAGTCTTATGAAAGGTTAATCGCTCGTCAGGAAGAGTGGAACGAGGCGTTGTTACTTTTCGGCCTAGTGTATGTATCCAAGCGCGGTTTGTAACGCACGCTGACTTCATCGACACGTTGAACCCTTGTTTTTTAGACAGGCACCTGCTATCTTCTTACCTCTGCGACATGTCGGCTTGGATGCAGGGAGGTTGCCAAGGACAAGATTGGGGATCCTCGCGTTCGCAAAGACATAAAGATTCTGGCTCCTACCGAGCATCGGCGTTTGAGGTCTGCTGTCCCGCGTGTCCCCAGTTGTGGCAGCGAACATCGGTCGCTGTTGGACTACCAGATGGTTTTAATACCCATGATATCAGAGTGAGTTTCCTGACATGTATCCGCAACGTGTGTCGATGACACCAGCTATCTTGCTAATCCAAGCTTCCATGTACCGCAGAGTCGCTGTTGTTCGCTCGACGGCGATCAGTCTCATGGTGCTGATGAACCCGCAAGATTTGTTAGCACATCCCCGCGGAGAGTACCGTACGCGTGTGCTACACTT